TGGGCTCCGCTGGCGGCGGCGCTTCCGGACCCCAGTGGCCGCCGCGATCTGGGCGAGCGGGCCCAGGCTCTGCGTGTAGTGGCCGGTCAGACCCCAGCCGGCCTCGCCGGGGCCCGCGAGCCCTGACCTGGGCCCAGCCACCCTCGCCGCTCTGGAGTCACTCGGGGCCTCCGAGGCCCACCATACTGGAATGCTCCCGCCAGGAGCTCTAAAGGGCCCCCACATACCGTTTCTATCTGGCCCTCGGCCTGGGCTCCACGCCCAGGGCACCCGGCCCAGCTCACACAAGGAGCCCCACACCCAGGATGCTGCCAACCCCCGCCTGGGGACCCCAGGAAGACACACACAACCAAGACTTGTCCTCCCCACGTGCACATCTCAGACGCACCCTTAGAGGCCCCCACTGACACAAAGTCACTGCCTGGCTCCCTTAGCCAACCCCAGGCCACCCTGGGACTCTGTCCTCATCTTGCTTGACCCTGCTGACACCCCTCCTCTGGGAACTGCACCTTCCTGCCCTCTTGCTCCTCCTCCATTTCCTTCTAGGGCTTCTTTTCCTCTGGGCAGCTCTGGGGCTCTGTCTGGGGCCTCTTGACCTCATCGGCCCCTGAGCCCTCCCCCTTGGGTTCCTGTCCACACCTCAAGTACTTACTCTCTCCTGGGCCATGGGGTCATTTCCCCCAGCTATGTGTCCACAACTGCACATCCTCTGGTTCCAGACCACACCCAAAACCCTGCTCCCCCAACCTAGTGACCCAGCTAGAGATGGGCAGCACACCAGATGCTTCCTCCTCCCTCCCCTCAGCGCCTGCATACCAGATTGGAGTGACTTTGTATCTCCCTGCCTAAAAACCCTTTCATCCTCCTGCCTTTGGGCCTGAGATGATGACAGTCCTAAAGGAGACTTCCCCTGTGCTGCTCTTGTACCCTCTGCTTGTAACACCTTCCCTAAGTGTAAAAGTGTATTTATATATCCGGATCAATGAAGTCTGACGTTTTGCCTCCTGTATCAGTTCCTCTGGCCTCCCTGGCTGGGCAGGACAGCTCTGGACACGTGCAGACTTGCAGCCAGTCCACTTGTTCTTGCAACAGTTGCATTTCTCTCCCTTCTTTGGATGAGGTAAATGAGGCTCAGGGAGGTCAGAAGGCTCCCAAGGTTACTAGGCTAGAGCTGGTAGAACTGGGATTTGAACCCAGGTCCTCTGGCCCTGAAGCCTGTTCTGACTTCATGTCCTTTTGCTGCAGCTGTGAAAAGGAGGGTGGCAGTGGGGCTGAAACAGGTCAGGGGTTAGTGGGTGGCTGTAAGGCTACCACAGGGGTGGCATGGGTGGGTGGGTGTCAGGTCTGAGCTGGGAATCCGGCTGAGCAAGGCCTGGAGTTGAGGCTCCCTTTCATGTTGTCATCCTACTGAAGCCAGTGCTGCAGCTGGATTTGTGTATCCCCAGGCACCCTCACCCTTCTCTGGGCCACCCCTTTCCTCCAGGTTTGGCTAACAGCTGGTGCAGTCAGAGGGTTCTGAGCACCCTCTAGTGGCCCAGAGTGTATCAAAGCCTGGTACCCAGGCTGATGGGGCTCAATGAAGGAGACATAAACTGAAGTTTCTACCACCCCCACTGGCCCTGTGCTCTGGGATCTACACCATAAAATTCAGACTGGGACTATGCATGTTTCCCTGTCTTGGACTCTGTTTTTCTGTCTTTGTCCATCACCATTTGATCCCTAGTTTCTAGGTCCCTGTCTCTGCCCATCTCTGTCCATCCTGGACTCTGTCCATAGCAGTCTCAGTCTAGTCTCTCTTCCTTCCTCAGTCTCTCTCTGTCCCCAGAGAAGGACAGGTGGCAGGCAGGTGAGCTGAAGAAGCAAAGAGAAGGGTGGCATCCTATAAAGACCTCGAGGTTCAAAGGATGCTGAGACCTGTAAGCTGAGGGAGGACAGAGGCTGGGAAGGGGAGTCCAGCCAGGGTGACTTGCAGGACTGTCCTTGCCCCCAGCTCTGAGGTGGCAGGTGGGGACTGCTGACCAGGCAGGAGCAGGGGAAGGAAGGAGTCCTATTCCAATAGGAATGTTTCAGGTTCTGGTTTTTAGTCGCACTTTGGTGCTGAGAGAATCCATCAAGGCCCCAGCCCCTGATTATTTGCCTCTCTAGCTCCCTCATACCTCCACCTCCCTCCCCTCATACTCAGAATAGAGTCGAGGCCAGGACACCTTATAGCATCCAGAATACTTTTATTGTCAGAATCGAGGTACAGCGTGCTCAGAACCCCAGGCAGAGCCCACCATTCAGGAACAAAGAGACAGATGCTGGGCATGTACATAACAGGAAAAATCCATCTCCACAGAAACTCTGTGGGAGAGCAGCACAGTCCTTTGGGACCCTAATCTAGAGGCTGGACTCAAGTCTTGGCGGATAGCCAGTCACCCACTTGGAGCCCACTGCCAGCAAGGCAGGCCCAGACTCTCCATGCTATCACAGGGAGACCGATGCAGCATCCCTGGAGCAGACAGAAGACCCCCAGGGAGTCCCCAAGGTACCTGAATGTCTCAAGGACCCACCCAAGTTTTGGGGCTAGTTCCTGCAAACGAAATACCACTCAGCTGCCTAGTGGAAGTAGGTTCTGGGAATGGTGGGCAGGAGCCCCATCACCTCTCCACCCTGTGCCAGCCCCATTTGATACTGGAGACAGCTTAGAGCAGCTGGCAATGCGGTGATGGGGTTAGTAAGAGGGCAACTCAGGGCAGCTCTGAGCAGCTTCAGCTACCTCTTTGAGCTCCCTTTCTTCATGCGTACCTAGAAGGCCACAGCACTGGGCTCTGCTCTCATTCTTGAACCACAGTCCCAGGGCAAAGGAAGCCAGCTTCAGTACTGGGGCCAACAGCTCAATCGAGGTGATCAGGGCCCCTGGGGCATGGTCCCAGAACCGGGGGACCATCTGTTGCCTAATCCAGAGCTAGGCTGCTCTTGGAGGTGAGGGAGGTAGGAGTGGAGTAAATGCCTCAGGACCTGGGAACTACACAAAACAAAACAAACTGCCCCTGCCTGCAGGGACTACTGGACTGCCCCCAGGAAACCAGTCAGGCCGTCTACCAGCTAGGCCACAGGGAAGCCAGCAGCTCCAGCCACCCATGGCCAATGGCAGACCTACCTGTGACCAGTGTGTGGGAAGAGTCACCCGAGGGGCCAAGGGGCCAGGAGCCTATCCCTGGGACCTATGGGGGCAGGGACCACAGCTCAGTAAAATCCATAACAGGAAGGCTGAGGGGCCATGGCCCAGTGGGCGAGTGTGAAAAGGCCATAGGGGTAGAAGAAATGCATGGCCCTGGAACTGGGGATTGGGGCCACATGCCAGCCAATCCACCTGCAGAACCAGTCCCGAAGTCACAACAATTCCTCCATCAGCAGCATTCTTTCCATCAAGGATGTCTCAAGTCCAGACTCTTATTTCTTCCTTCTTGACTGCCACAGAGGGAGGATAAGAGACAGCACTTCCCTATGGCAGATGCTTCACAGCCCAAGACCCAAGACCTTGAATGGTCGGTCACACGCTTTGCTAAACTCGTGGGTCATGACAGCCCCAGAGACCAAGCCCCATGGTCAAGCCATCCAGCAGCCCCAGCTGGCACAGTAATCAGGGCCCAAGGAGCACACGTTTCAGGTAGGCCAGGGTAGAGGCATTGGCCAGCATCTCAATGTGCTCGCTGCCTGGCAGCTCCTGCAATGACACTTGGTGCTCCTGGCGGCTGCTCCAGGCCCGGCACTGCAGAGCACTCTGCAAGTTCACAGTGCCATCGCCGTCGCCAAAGCAGATTTTAGGGTCGCGGTCGGGGAAGCTCTCATAGTAGAAGGAGTCTGGTGTGGGGACACCAGTGCCATAGAGGCAATGCAGCTGCACGCCAGGTGGCATCATGGCTTCAACCAGCCCCTCTGTGTCCTGCCGCATGAGCCAGCCATCTTCAAAGCCAATGTCCCGGAAGAACCTTTGATAATCTTGCAGTGTGTAGTTGATTGTGGGTGTGTGCACAAACACTTTCTCAGGGGACCAAGTATAGTTGTAGGGGAGCAGCCAGCTGGTGGAGACAGCAGACCGCTGCTGCTCCCGAATCTTCAGCGGCCCAATGACGGGGATCCGGTTGTTGTCTCCTGCAGGAAAAGGGTTCTGGCAGTCTGTGCTTAAAAATGCAAGTGGCCCAGCACCATGTTCACCAAGAGACCCCCTGCTGGGCCCCAGCCAGTGACCCAGTCAATGCTGTGCATCTCTATGCTATTATCATCATAGCTTTTATTGTTGTCCTTTATTTTTGCTACTTCTGGGACACACACACTTGTTTTGCTTCTTTTGCATTTCCTCACCAGGGATTTCGGCAGCCCTTACCCACAGGGTGATTTGTTATGTTGCCTTTTCTGTGAACAGTATCACCAGGCCTCTGGGCACTGACCTTGTCTAAGGTGAATCAGCAGTTTGACAGCCCACAGACATGGTTCCTCTTTGTCTTTTATTACATTGAACAGGGGTCAGTTTTTTTCCTAAGCTCATCCCAGCATTCAGGCAGCCCTGGTCTTATTGCACCCACCTGCCTGTGTGCTGACCTGGCGGCCAGGCCTGTTGGAGACAGGGCAGTAGGGGAGGCTGTAGATGGAGTCAGAGTCCTTCGCACACAGAAATGTGAACAGCACAAACACCCACCAACCAATGAGACCTCCGTGCGGTAAGCTGGCACTTGAGAACAGGGGCCTTGGACCTGTTTAGGCCCCATGGTCATTCATCACTCCATCCTGTATCTAAAAGCAGGGAGTCCTGTCTGTTTGACCACAGAACCCCAGTTCTGCCTGCTGGGGCCTGGCTCTAGGACCCCTAAGAAAAGGGAAGCCCCTACCGTCCATAGACTTCCTCTTCCCCACATGACACCCCCACTCCTGGACTGCCAGGGCCTGACAGAACAGTTTCCCAGCATCAGAGGCAAAGCTCTAAGCGGACTCAAGGGGAAACTCTGAAATATGATGGAGCCCAAACTCCACCACAGCTCCTTGTCCAAACTCAGGGAATGCCCACATCTATCCCTCCAGGTCAAGGATGGAAAGAGTAGGAGGGTGTGGATGAGTCCTTACTATATTCGAAAGTCTGAGCCATGGGCTCATTGTCCAGCCAATTCAGGGTCACTACTGGAAGAGGCACTGGGCCTGACCTGATCACAGTATCTAGTTGACCAAGCAGGTCAGAAAGTACTGGTGATTTGAGGGAGAAAGTTCATGAGACACTTGGCACTGCCCTGGCTCACAGCTCCCAAAGTGAGAGGCCATGGGGCTTCTACCCAGTCCTAGCAGAGGGAGGAAAGCTTCCTCCTAGAGCAAGAAGTTCCACCCTATGGCTGCAGCTGGAAGGTTCTGACAGTCATGAAAAGGCAAGTGGATTTGGGAATAATCAGAAAGAGGGTGGCCTTCCCGATTGCCAGGCAAGCAGGTCCAGCCAGATCTGCACCTGCTTCCTCCCTGTGTTGCCCACAGAGGCTCCCTACTGCTCACAGATGGATATGTAACTCATAAACAGGAAACTGTAGTCCAGCCTTCCTCCTCAGGGGCAAAGGTGGGGATGAATAAGTGAAGATGAGGGTAAGAAGGAGGAAGAAGTGCCTCCAAAGAATTATGAGTCAAATTAAATCAGGCCAGCTAGGCCTGAGCACTATGTAGGTATGTTTGTGCATGTGTGTGTGCACACACGTGCACAAGCAGTACCTGTGTAACCAACGGTCATGCCACTCCATGCACATGCTATGAGAAACTTACACAGATTACCAGTGCTATCAACTAGACAGGTGAAATTAGGAGTAGTGTTAGATTCTCTTTTGGAAAAAAAGATATTTGAAAAAGAATGCCACTCTGGAGAAGAAAGCGTGCTGACCCAGGAGAAGAGACATGAGAGGTGCTGGCCCAGGAGGACATTATGGCATGAGAGACAGGGTGGCATTCCCAGAACCAGCCCCCCAACACTGGGCCAGGTAGGGTCTTACCTGAGGCCAGGACACGCAGGGTCTTGGCCACGCCCCCCCAGGGCGCACCCAGTGCCACGAAGGCATGGATATACTTGTCCTTCCAGGCCTGCGGCTGCCGCTGCAGAAAGTAGAGCGTGTACATGTTGCCCATGCTGTGGGCAACCAGCACCACGGGGCCCCCATACAGCTGGTGCATCTCCTCGATCATCTTGCGGAGGGCCAGGAAGAAGGGCCCGTTTTCATCTGCAGGCCAGAGCCAGGCAGGGGTCAGGCGGGAAGTGTCCTGGGGCCTGAACCACTGATTGTTTCTAATGCCAGACCCAGGACTAGGGGCGTGGGGAGACTGCTAAAATCCAAGTGGGAGCAGTCTGGTTTCTGCACCAGATCCCACAAAGGGAGGAAACCAAGGGGCTCCTTTTCTCCCCCTCGCGTTATTATCTTTCCTAAGGTTCAGAGAGCCAGAGGTCCTGGGATGAGAGATGAAGGACAGGACAAGACTGACTGGTGGTGACTGTGACCACTGGGCTGGATGCCAGAGGCCCAGGTGCAGGAGAGAGCCCAGGACCTGTGGTGGCTATGACTGCCTTGCACCTGCCTCCCAGGACCTGAAGGAGGGCATGAGGGTGACTGCTTACTTGGGGCTCGGCGCCAGTCATAGGGGGCCCCTCGAACATCCTCACCCCGTGTGTAGCCCCAGCCCACAAGGCTCTCTACCATGGTGTGGAAATAGGAACCTGTAGGCAGAAGTACATAGGATTAGAGAAGACACAGCCAGTGCCAGCCACCCATACCACATCTGCCACGGAGACTGTGACATCTACTATAGGGAAGAATGCTGCAGGGCTCTGTGCCCACACTGATCAGAGAGAGCTCACAGGCTACCCCTTCAAACCAGCAGAGTCCCTCCAATTCTAGGAGCACAGCAGAGCCAGCCACTGGAGGCCTTGAGTAAGGGCTACATACCCATACTGCTTTTGCTGGGGTCCAGGAACTCCAATGAGAAGGTCTTCCCGAAGCCAGGGACATGCACATCCACACCATCAGGAAACTGGGTGGCCCTGGATGTTCTGTTGTAAACCAGCCTGTCAGGAGGGGAATATTGAGCTGATGATCCAGGGGTAACACTAAACTTGGTGTGTGCCAGTACTGTCCTGTGTCCTGAGCCATACTCCTTTACCATCACCAGGTTTGATCGGATGTATAAGGGAAGACCAAAAAGTAACAAAGCAGGTTTATAAAGCACAGATTAGAGTAACCACAATGCAAATGAGGACCCCCACCAAGGCTCACTCCAAAGACTGACCCCAGGACCCTTGTCAAGGCAACATTACCTTCTCCCCAATGTCACCTACCCCAGAATGAAGGTCTTGGATCTGGCTGGGAGAAGGAAGCACCAGTCCTGGCTCTGCCATGAACTTCACACTTGACCCCAAGAGGCAGCCTAGCCTCTCAGTCTCCCATTCCTCTATCTGCATGGATCCAGCTCCTGCTACCCACCACACATATCACAGGGCAAAGGAGATGATGAGCGTAGCATACAACAGAATGTGACAGGGACCCTACTCTGGGGCCTGAGCACCTGTGGCTGCTGTGTAGATAGCTGGGTAGGAGGGTGGGCAAGGCCCAGAAAAACGATAGGGGTGGGTGGGGAGAAACAGGAGAAAAGCCTTCCGCAGACCCAGGTTGGTACATATGGGTCCCACTTGCTCTGGGCTTTGGACCCAGCAGCTAGCCTCCCCCAAACCACACCATCCATGGAGGAAGGGAACAAACCATGCCCACATGATCTGCTCAGTACCCCAGGTCCATATCACCTGCCAGACTGCAACCATAATGCTCAGGGCTTGGCCAGTAAATTCCTAAGAGCCATGACATAGGATATGGACTGTCACCTACTTGGGATCCCTAAGAGCACTTTATTAGTTTTCTATTGTTGTGTAACAAATTACCATAGACTTAGCAGTTTCTACCACCACACATATTATCTCATAGTTTCTGTAGCTGCAATGCGAAATAGAACCAGACAAGAGAGACCCCCACCTCAGGGCTGAGAACGTGACTGCTCAGGTAGGGGTCAGCAAGGCCTGGAGAAATGATGAGGACGGGTGGGAGGGAGACAGGAGAAAAGCTTTGTGCCAGGAACCCTGCTCTGGCCTTGCCTCACACGAAAGAGGCAAAAATGCCCAAGAAAACACAGGAACCTGAAGTTTAAGTGGGGTGAGTCCCACCCCCTTAAGGAACAGCCACAGAAAGCCATAGGATCCCCAACATTAACACAAGTAATAGGTCCTGGGGGCCCATTCTCTCTTGGGCAATCATAGATTATCTCAATGGCCACAAAGCAGAGTGCAGGAAATGGTCTGGAAAGCCAAAGCAGATCTGTGCTGGAGGAATCATCTAAACAGGTCAGAGAAGCAACAAATGCAGACAAGCCCCTCTCAGTATCAGCCAGCACCTCCAACTGACAGTACCCGAGGCCACATCTCCAGTACGAAAATAGAAATGCAGATCAACAGCCCAGAATAACCCTGATTACACATAGAGGAGGAAAGAGTCAACAAAGCAGGCATCATAAACAACGGGAAGGGCAGGGTATCAGGAGAACCAGCTAGGGTGTCTCTGTGAGAAGTGTTTGATTTGTGATACTCCATCTCATCTTAAACATGTAATAGGCACCACTGTGATCCTGGTTCTACTGATACTATAAATACAAAACAGAGACACAGTCCCTGCCTTCAGGGACCTCAGTCTGGGAGAGAACCTCAGCCCAGAGTCACACAATTCTGGGTTCAAATTCTGGTTTTGCCACTTATAAGCTAATTGACCATAGGCAATTTTGTAATCTCTTTGAGCTTCTAGATTTCCTCATCTGTAAAGCAGGTTTAATAACAGCCCCTATTTCACAGGGTCACTATAAAACTAAATGAAAGAAAGTATCTAAAATGTATAGTGCCTGCATTCAGTTTGGAGACACATCCTTGGAAACAAAGTTTGGCATGTGATAAGGGTTACAGGAAACATGCGTGTGACCTGGGGGAAGAAGTTAAGAGCAGCAGCAGAAGAGACTTCACAAAGGGACCAGTGTCAAGTTTTAAAGGGTGAATGGGAGGGAATTTATCAGGCAAAGGATGTAGAAGTAGATTCCAGGCTGAAAGAACAGCATGTGCAAAGACACCGAGACACAGTGTCCCAGGAAGAACAAGCAGCTGGAGAGGGAGATGTGGCCACATCTCAGGCAAGGGAAGGAGTGGGAGCCATGTTGAGGCTATGAATAGGGGCTGGGCATAGAAACTGTGCCTGTGTAGGGTGTGAGGGGCAAGGGCTGAACTGGAGAGGAGAGGGATGGGGAGGAGCAGCAGGAAGGGGAAGAAAGTTCTGTCTGGGTGAGTGCGGAGGTGGTGGGTGCCAAGAGGAAGGAGAGAGGTCAGTGACCTTGAGGTCTCAAGGTAAGGATATGAAGTTAATGGGCTTGAAGGCCTCTCTGGGCTGCATCAGTGAGCAGAACCCATCTGTGTGTCCCAGTCCCCACCTGATATTATCGATCCAGCAGTCAATGATGACAGGCAGCAGCAGTTCAAGGTTCAGCCAGAGTGTGAAGTAGCTGTCAGTCTTCTTGGAGCAGAGGTAATGAACAACTGTCGGCTTGTCCAGCTTTGCCTCAAGCTGGTTACCCAAATCACCGGGCACTGCAGGGGGGCATAGGACATGTGTGAGCCCTGGGTCTGGCAGCCTGGAGATCCCCAAGAGCCCTGAAGTCTGTAGCAGACCCCCCAAGAGCCATGGATACCATGGCAGACCTCTGCAGTTCCACACCTCAAATTAAAGCACAGCCAGGGGCAGGAAAATCAGAGAAAAGGGACTTTGACTCAGAGGCCAGAGCACCATCTTCACACAGAAAAGCTGTATGGTGTGAGAAGGCACATACCCTGTGAAGGGCTAGGAGAGGACTGACATGTTTCGAGGGAGGCCTCTAACACTCTCCCAACTCCAGATGAAGTAAATCTCCTGGATCTTCACTGGAATATCCACACAGACATTCGATTATTGTTAGGGGGTTCAGAGTGAAGTCACCTCCCCATGCTAGGCCTCAGTTTCCTTATCTATTAAATGAGATCTTGGCCTGAATCACCCCTCCCCCCCCAAATACAAACACATCTCTACACACAGTTTCTATGGTTGATGGATCCGGATAAGAGTTTGACTGGGAGGGGCTTGGAAAAGCCTTTGAGCTCCCAAACTCCCAAAGTTTGGCCAAGGCCATAGCCCTGTCATTAGTTATACACCCTCAATGCTTGAACCCAAAGGCCTTCCACTCACAGCCATCCCAGGCCACAAACAGAGAAGGTGGGGCCTTGTTCACCCTGAGAGAAGGAGTAGGTAACAGGACAGAGCACCGGGCCACTTAACCAGCCAAAATTGAATCCAGAGAAGGTATTCCAGGACAGGTTTGTGGGAGGGAGGTGATGAACAGAAACACAGCTGAGAGAAGCTTACACTGGCCTTTGCCAGTCTACTGAGGTCTTCAAGCCCTGCGAAAGGCCAGAGTCCAGTAAAGTTCCACAGGGCAGATCATCTGGAGGGTTCTAGCATGGCCGGGAGCCCAGCATGGCTGGGAGATGGCTACCCTGAAATAAAGCACCATTCCAGCCACAGTTCAGTGGGGGAGGGTGTGACCAGGCCCCAAGGATGACTTCTCTCCACTCCAGCCAACTTTTTCAGCCACACAGAGCCCTAGGCCCTTGTGACACCCAAACCCAAACCCAATGCTTCACTGCCCAGCGTTCGAAGCTCTTCACAGTCTATTTACTCCCAATGACCTTTCAGGGCTCACTTGCTCTCACATGCCATACTCTTGACACCTCCTAAGCACATCCCCATTTAGGATACATGATCATTGAGTGAATAGCCATCACTTGACTCTACTGGGCATTCACTGGGTGCCAACTGTGAGCCCAGCCCTGCAAAGGGTACTATCTCCCTGTGCACCATCCTAGTGTCCTCAGGGAGTCATGGGGAGGCAGGTGTGGCGCCTGCCTTCATCTCCCTTCACGATATGGGTGCAGAAGCAAGGAGTCCCCAGCATGATAGCCTCTAGATGATAAGCCTGTGGACTGGGCAGGCCAGTACAGAGACCCTGGTCACTGTTTCCACCAAAGAGGAAATGGCTGAAAGAGGAAGTCATCAGATCTGCTTTTCCCAGATGCTCCTTGCCCTGATCAGGCTGTGTGGCCTCTAAAAATAGCAGTGGCCACTTCCTAAACCCCTCTGTGCCTGGGACTAGGCCAAGAGCCGTCCACATGCCTTTTACCTCAAATAATACTTGAGGACATATCCTTATTATCCCCACTTAACAGATAAGACCAAGGCTTGAAGAGGTGGAAATGGCCTTGCCTATGGTCCCTTCCCTTTACCCAGGGTCTTCTGTATCACTTCTCTGGATGTTGTTTCCTCCACCACCAATTCAGGACCCACTCCTAGAGGATTCTGATCCTCTGATGGTCAAAGTCAGACCCCTGTTCTGTGCCCAGGAGCAGCTTGTCCACTGACTGCCAACATGTGATCTCCCAGGGTTAACGCTTCTGCTGTGATGTAGGATAACCAAAGACTGAATGAATTACTGAGTGCAGTAGCACCAATCCAAGCCAAAAGTCTGTGTGCCAGCCACAAACCACAAGCTTCCCAATGTCACACTCTTCATGTTCAGAACTCCCTAGGCCAACCCATGTCTCCCTGAGGCCCCCCAGGATAAAGTCCAGATGACCCAAACAGTCACGAGCCCTGTACAATTCATTCCTCCCCCCACTTGATTCCAGCCAGCCTGGACTGCTCACTTCCTTCCCTCTGATACGTAGTTCCCTCTGTCTGGAACTCTCTCCTGGTTTTAGCTCCAGCTATATACTCCAGGAAGCCTTCCCTGACACCCACTTATCCAGGTTAGTTAGAAGGATGGATTCTCTGTGCTTGCCCAGCACAGGCTTCATCTCTGGGGATCACTGTTAGTCCCATCTGCAAACTTGGGGAAGGCAGGGCCCAAATCCCATGGTGAACTGGGGCTCAGCATCCCTCTGGAGCATTTCCTGACCCAGAAATCTTAGTGGGGCCCCCTGGAATAACAATGCCTGCCAACCCTACCCTACCTTTCTGTGATCTGCATCATCTCCATTAAAATACTCTAGGTGGAATGAGCATGGGGATCATGCTGTAGCAGATTCAGTATGTAATTTATGCCTCAGTATGCCTCTGCTTCAGGAGTCCTGACTAGCCACCAGCACAGTAGCTCTGAATAGGAGTGACAGCCTGAACGAGGCACCCGAGGTCCCCCAGTCAGAGGTCTTTTACCTGCCCATCACCAAAAGGAAACAGTGTGGCTCCTGTACAGTTTCCAGGGCTGTGACCAAAGAGGGGTGGCCAGGGGAGGTCACCCAGCCCCAACATAACCTAGTCGAACTAAGTCTGGCAGCAGTGAGAGTACAGGCATGTTCCTTGATGCCTGTTCATGGCCGTTGTCCTAACCCTTTCCCTTGTCTTCAGCCATCTTCAGTTTCCCTTAGGCCTCATCCCTCAGGCCCAATGCCATCCATTTGATAAGTTGTGGGGGACGGGGGTGGGTGCTAGGTGGCCAGCTAGGAGAGCGATCCTTTTCTCAAAGACCTTCCTTTCAGTAATGCCTTCTAAAACATATGGGGCGGGAAGGGTTCAGGATGACTGCCTCCTAACCAGGCCCAGGTCAACGCGGAGACCAACTCTGAGGCCATTCTACCCACCACAGCCACCAGCCCTCAGGAGTGGGGCCAAAGGACCTCAGTTTTTCCAGCTAAAAAACGGGGAGGGCCGGCCCGTGGCTCACTCGGGAGAGTGCGGTGATGATAACACCAAGGCCCCGGGTTCGGATCCCACATAGGGATGGCCGGTTCGCTCACTGGCTGAGCGTGGTGCTGACAACACCAAATCAAGGGTTAAGATCCCCTTACCGGTCATCTTTTAAAAAAATAAATAAATAAAAATAAAAATAAAAAAAATAAAAAACGGGGATAAGGCGAGGCAAGGCTTGGGACTGATGTGGACAGGTGGAGCAATGGACAACCTGACGGTAACTCACCCTGATTTTCTAAAGGGTCAGGTGGTGGGAGGCTGACCACACCCGCGCACAGCATGGCGGGAGGTGGACAAACCGACCCAGTGACAAGACAGACACCATGTGCTCCCCCATTCCGTGCTTAAAACAGATGCAGACCAGGAACACAACCCCGCCCGTACCCCCGTCCTGTCGGACCGACAGGCGGACGGACCCATCACCGGACGCGCGCCTCACCCAGCACCACCGGGGGGTGACGTTGAGCCAGCAGCCCTGGGTCCGCGAACAGCATTAGCAGCAGCAGAAGAAACAGGAGGCCACCCGGGAGGAAGACCGCGTAGTAGGGGCAAAGGCGGAGACCCATGGCGTGCGACGGCGGCTGCAGGTCCGAGGTGCGGGTTCAGTGTTCAGGGTTGGTTCCTAGGCCGAGGAGGCGGCGACGCGCTCAACCCGACCGCCGGCAGCCTCGCGCGCCACCCGGCTAATTAGGGCCCGCCTCCCGCAAGCGTCCCGCCAATAGGAACTGGCCGTCAGGTGCGTCCCTCCCAGTCGGAGCTCACGCCCCGCCCCTGCCCACCCCGGGACAACCTCCTGGACCTCACTGAGCGCCGAGTACATCGATCATCGATCGATGTGCAGCTTGGCTCCCTGGCTCTCAGCAGCCCACCCAGCGGACCCAGCTCCGATGCCGTGTACCCAGCCCAGGCCTGGGGAGCCCAAGTCCACGCTGCGCAGCCCCCACTCCTGATCCTGGAGCTTTCGTGACCTGGCGCTCGTCACTGCTGAGCGCCCCAGTCAAAGCACGAAGAGGGGAAATGAGTCGCGGGCAGTACTTGGGACATTTGTGCAACCCCCACACCGAGTCTTCGCACCTTGCCCCGAAGGCAACTTGGTTCGGCCGCCCTGGCCCAGGGGCCCTATCATCTGCCGCGGGCTTAGTGATGTGGGTGGGGCCGGGAAAGGCCAGGTCAGCGCGTTCTTTTTCCGAGTGAGGGGCCACCTAAACAGACGTTTTAGGCGTCACCACAGCAGACGGGGCAGTTCGGGCACTGGGTTGAGAGTGGGCTTGAGCCCCCCACCCCACCCCACCCCCGCTCCCGCTCCCCGTAAACCTGGGGATCCAGAAAGGACAGATTCCCTGCACCAGAAATCGGGGCAAAGAGTAGGCAAAGACTTGACAGCTGGTAATATGCCAGCACCATCAGTGTCTCTGGGATGGAGGGACCAGCGTGTTTGCGGAATAGAGGTCTTGATCATCCACACACACACTCCTTCCTGAGGGCCAGCTATGCCCTGGTCATCCCCAGCTGGTCCCAAGACCTCTGTCCTGCCCTTCCTTCCTTTTTCTTGGTAAGCAGCTGACCCATGATAAAGCCACTCACTATCTTGGCCTGCTCCTCCTGAGTTCTTATAGCAAAATGTGTTGGTGATTGTGGTAACTTCCTCTCTTGAAGTCCAGCTATCCGCCACTTCAGGCCCTGATTCAGAATCCCTACTCCCAAAGCCCCTGCCTCCCCTGCTTTTACCCTAGCTTCTCCAGAGAGTTGCTGAAGACTTATCTGGTGAAGGCCCAGTGTGGGAGACCATAGAGACCCTTCTGTCAGGGGTAGGGACAAGCAGGAGTCTAGAGGCCAGGGTTAAGTGGGGAAGGGTACAGATCAGGAGGGCCTGGACCTCCTGGGACTGGCCACAGTCTGAACATCTTGCCAACCTGCAAGCAGCCTCAGGTGACCATTAGCCCCTGGAAGGGTAGCCCTGTCTTCAGGAGGGATTCTCTGATGCCCCACCCCACACCCCCAAGCCCTGCAAATGTTAGGAGCCATAGCCATTGGGGGAGGGGTGGCAAGGCCTGGTCAGCAATGACCCATGCTGGCATGCTGGAGAAAGGTCAGAAGGTGAGGGCCTCCTCTTTTCACAAGGAACCTGCCATCCACTCAATCCCCCTGACTGCAGACCTGGGGTCATCCTGGACTCTGGGTGCCTCCCTGCTCAAACCCACAACCCAGGGGGTCACCAAGTCTTGCCAGCTCTACCCTCCAAAAGACAAACTACCCTCATCCTCACAGTAGCCTCTTCGCTAATGTCCCAATTTATGTCCTTATTCCTGTGGATTGTTCTCCACATGCCAGGATTAAACATGAAACATTAATTCAGGCACCAACACTCTACCTCTAACCCCAGTCACAACCTTCCCATGGTATGTATCTCACTCAGAGTGAATGAGGAATCTGCAGGGGACTCTGGCCCTGTTTCCCTAATTTCTACCCCCCTCATCCCTAGCTCTCTCATCTCCAGCCTCAATGCTTTCCTTGCTGCCTAGACCAGGACAACTTCATTCCTCCTCAGGATTTCCATTCTTGCTACACTGACACCACGCTGCATCCCCCAGTTCTGGGGAATTGATTGAGCTCTGTATTTAGGCTTCAGGCCAGACATAACCATTGAATTTGAAGCAGACCCTGCCTGGTTCCCATCAGAATATGATGGCTGTAGGGCTTACTGGTTAGCTCACTTGGTTGGAGCACAGTGCTAAGAACACCAAGGTCAAGGGTTTGGATCCCTATATTGGCCAGCTAAAAAAAAAAAAAAAGGAATATAATGGCTGCAAGAGCAAGCCCCTCACCTGTCCTGGTCCTGTCACATCCCTGGTTACTAATTACTACCTAGCACAGATCCTGGCACATAGCAAATGCCTAATATATGTTGCATGAATGAGTGATACATCCCCTTCTCTACAACACTCCCTATCCTGCATCTTCCAAAACAGGGCCCTGGTGCCTGTCAGACCTGGAGGAGGAGATAAGAGACAGAGAGGTCAGCAGGGCTGGATGAGAGTTCTGGAAAAGATTATGAAAGAGGGAGGGTATTCCTGTAGAGGGGAACACTCTAGGCAAAGGCAGGAGGTGGGAACAAACCCAGAGACTGAGGGGCCAGGCCAGTTGTGATATCTTCCTCAGGTGATCATACAGACAACAGCCTTTGCCCCTCCTGTTACTGAGCCCTTTGTGTTCCCTCTTACTGGCCCAAGCTCCAAGTATCCCTACCTGGACCAGGTAGGTGGCTGGTCCTGGGGCAACCAAACCAAGACGAAGCCTTCTGAGTTGTTTTGGTGGCCAGAGAGGAGGCTATTTAGAGGTCAACTGATTCTCCCTAAAGCTCAACTTTCAGTAGGCCCCTATTCCTCTGCTGCCAGAACCTCCCTGGAATCAGAAGCCCAACACTGATCCAGTCGTGACAGAACCTTGGAGGCAAAGGGCCCAGAAAAGAGCCTGAAGACTCTTTCGCTCTCCAGGAAAACAAAGGGGTGAGTAGGTAGGTGGGCGCTCCAGGCAGGGAGCTCCACATGTACAGCAGACTGGACCTAAGAATCCAAATACTGTAGTGTTTCCAGAGCATAGGGTGGGGCAGCGTCGGTGAGAGTGGAACAGAGAGAGGTTGAGGGCCCTGAAAAACCAAGCTTAAAACCGAGGCCTGTGTCTACGGAATCAGGAGCCACGCGAAGATCCTAAAGCCAGAGGGAAGCGGTGTCGAGCACTGGGTTGCCCTTCTCACCCCTGTCCCGGTACACGCCCCTCCCGCCTCCCGCCTTATCTTCTGTTCTGGCAACAGAGTCAGCGCGCCCTCTGGTGGGTACTAAGGGACGATTCTGCAAAGGCGCGGAGACCTGAACCCGGGAGGGGCCCAGCGCGCTAGCTTCTCTGGTGGCTCGGGAGATAAGGAAGGGCAGCAGTGCACCCAGATGGCAGCAGTTGAGCCGCTGGGCCTCAGAAGGTGGGAATGGGTCTGGGCGGGCAAGTGTGAATCTCCGCGGTGTCTCCAGTGTCGAATCCTCTTCCAACGAGGGATCTTCTCTGGCCGTGAATGGGGGGGCGGGGGGGGGCACGCTTTTATACCACTCCCAAGACGCCTTGAAGGTTCCAGAGATCCGCTACACTCCCGCCTGCAGCGAGGGCCCCTACCCTGTAGGGTACCCGCAGCCGGAGCGCCAACTGCTTTTAGGGCTCCAGCCCAGGCAGTCCTCCAAAGGCCGAGGTGAGGATGGAATTTCGTGAGTGTGCCGCCCACAGGACCCAGTCCCTTCTTCTAAATTCCTGGAGTGCGGTTTGGGAAAGTCATCTGGCCTCCGGCGGGCTAGGCCGTTAGGGTCTTGCTTATCCCTCTCCCATATCTATCTTCCGTCCATTCATTCATTCACGCTTCATGAACCCTAGGAGTAGAGAGGGGTGGTGGCAGAGCTGGGGGACATATATCAGTGAAGTACATAAGTCTCAGTCTACAGGGATCCGTGCTACGGAGGGAGGTGCTTTGAGAAGCAGCTAACTGGAGGAAGAGCTGGGGTTAACTTGAGCAGGCGCGGGGTGGAAGAGGAAAAAAGGGCACAGATTAGACTTTACAGCAAAGGCCCTGTGGCCCGAAGGAGGCTTACCATTGCTAAAACACCCGAAGGCAGGCCGGCCCGTGGCTCTCTCTGTAGAGTACGGTGCTGATAACACCAAGGCCACGGGTTCGGATCCTATATAGGGATGGCCGGTTGGCTCAATGGCTGAGCGTGGTGCTGACAACACCAAGCCAAGGCTTGAGATCCCCTTACCGGTCATCTTTTTTTAAAAAATAAAAATATAAAATAAAATAAAATACCCGAAGGCAGAAGAAGCAAGCGCCTAGACAAAAATTCATTCCTTCAATGCCAGGCCTCGTGATATGTGTTGGGGGTGAGCGTCCGTCCTCGAGGATCGGATATTGTGGGGGTGGGGGTCAAGTGGCAATGAATGATTAATAAATCATGTTAGACTCTTACCACGTGATACCCTGCGCCACCTCGGGACTGCAGGGAGGTCCCACCAAGAAGGCCTTCACCAGATGCACCCCCTGGACCGTGGACTTAGCCTCCAAAACTGTAAGAAATAAACCTCTCTTCTTTATACATTAAAATGAATTAATAAATAAATAAATCGTGTTAGAAATCGGTTAAGTGCGGGGCGGGGGGAGGGGGTGAGCTATGAGAACAGGTTGGGGGATGGCAGTGCGAGTTCTTTAGTAATAAACGATAATCTGGGAGGACCCATCTGTAGATGAGTAAAATAGTTTCGTTTGTTATTTGAACGAATTTTGTTTTTCAGAGTCCAAGCGTCAGGAAGTGTCTTGCGATAGGGGTGGCTGAATAGACGCACAGGGGTTTAGGGGAGCCGCCCCATGCTTCCAGCCGACTGCCTCAGGTTCACCCCCCAGCGGGGTCCTGGACACGAGTGCATCTTCAGTAGGAATGCTCTCAGGACGGCCAGGGGTGCCACAATGGAGAGAGGTCACCTCAAGAGAGAGGCTTCCCGGAGCAAGGAGCGTCGAGCGCTGCAGGAAGAGGTAAAGCCCTAGCGCGAAGGTCTAGAGGTTGAACGGATGCGGGCGCCAGGAGGG